TGGATACAACATTTGGCGCAACAGGAATAATGGTATGAAAGAGGAGTATGAATACCTAAAAAAAAGCTATTGTATTATATGAGAAATATGTAAATGAGGTACAAACATTTACAAATAATTTTAAAAATTTAACTGATAAATTGTTTGAAAATGTTATCAAATCTCGCAAGAAAAACAATTGAATTCCGTTAGATTGGAATAAAATTTATGTGAAAGCTTAAATAATATCCTGACATTAGCAGTTAATTGGAAAACCCTAAAACTGCCTGATTTGAATACTAGAATTAATAATATTGTTAAGCTTCAGCCCTGTGATATTCGCAGAGCAATACACGGATACATGGATGGCAAAGTCTGTTGTTAAGCATTTAAATTGGGAGAAGAAATATCTTAAAGATAAAGATAATCCTAGTAGTTAAACAAAAAAAATGTTATTTTCATGTAATCCGATATTGATATTAATACAATTTACATAATGTGAAAGTGTCTACTCCAGTAACCTTTTTTCAAATGTTATCACACTGATAAATTTATAAATAAAATACCTTATAGAAATGTTTGTTTTCATAAAAATTAGCATACATTCTGCACAAAATTAAATTAGGTTTAATAATAAAATATTTAAAATCATTTCGTTTAATCAAATTTATCAATTATAGCACAATTCAAAATAATAATTTAATATTTGTTTAACTATTTATAGGTTCATGTTATTGTTTTTAGTTGAAAAACACACTATTTATTTACATTTTTTTTCCTCTGTTACTATTGCATGTGTTCTTCTATATATAACTGTGTACTTAAATTTGATGAGCTATTATATACAAGCAAATTTTTTTCCATTTTCTTTTAGCAAATTTGTTAAGATTAGACAAGACTTTCCCACTTTTAAAGTGCTGTAATTAGTTACTGAAAGTGCCTATACTATATTATTCGAATACTCTAAACGCCACTCTTTGAATAAATGCCCCCTCAAATAAATATCCCTGTAAAAAAACCTTATGGAAACAACCTACGGGACCTAAAAAAGGTTGTTTCACAAAACAAATTGCAAGAAAATGTTGTATTGCTCAAATGTGTTATATGGACCATACTAAACATGAATATCAACGTTAGGACATTTTTGGACATCTTCAAGTATCCTAATTTGCATAGTTCAAAATGGCCACCACTTTGTACATTTAAGGCCTAATAAAACCTAAACGACTATTTTTTGGGGTATATGTTTTTGTTATGTTGAATAGAAACATGCAATTGCCTACCCAGAAAACATAGTAGCCCCAAGAATGATGGGTCAAAGGTCAATTCAAGGTCATTATAATGTTTTTTAACATTTCACCCAAACATAATTATAAATATTTGGAAAAAATGTTGTTATTTATTCAAAGAAGTGATACCTGCAATTCCTGCTGAATGCATTGTTTTTGATGGATGCTCTCTGCTTCGGGGAGTACAATGGAACAAAGAGGAAACATTTGCTGTTATAGCTTCGAAATATGTTGACAATGTCAAGAGATACCCTAACCAAATAGTTGTGCTCGATGGATAAGAGAATACACTTTCAAACAAAAGAATCAACACACAAAAAACGGTCGAAGGGCATTACTGTTCCACCAAATGTGCAAGGCTAGTAAGACCACACCATCAACTTAAATGGGAACGAAATGTCTTCTTAGCAAACAAGAAAAACAAACAGGCTTTTATTGACCTTTCTGAAGCAATGGTCAATTTATGTATCTATACAAAACATGCAAAAGGAGATGCTGACCTCTTGATAATTCAAGAAGCAGAGATGGCGACGAAACACGTCACATATGCCATTGCGGAGGACACAGATATCCTCATATTTCTCTGTTGTCACATGAAAGCAAATAGCAAATCACTATTCATGGTTTCAGAAAAAGTTAATGCAGCCTAGCTGGCGCATGGAAATGATGTGTGTGGAAGGTTCCATTCTTTATGTGGCTGTACACAACTTCAAGTCTATTTTCAATTGGTAAAGGAGTTGTGATCAAGAAGCAGAATTCTCTTTGTCAATATGCAGCACCATTTCTTTGTAAGTCATCAACACATAAGGAAATACAAGAAGCAGGTGAACAAGCTTTGATTAAAGTCTACAGTAACCACAAATGCTGCACATCATTAAATGAACTTCGGCAGAAAAAATTGAAATTGAAACCTGTTAAAGCCTAAAGGTTGTTGAAGTCAAAGATCTTCCGCGTTGCTGCAAAATACCACTGCTATCGCGTCTATTATCAGACACATGTATGGTTGGGTAACGAAGATCTCCAACCAACGGATTGGGGTTGGAATTAGGTATCAAATTGTGAATAATTACGTATGATGGATAGAAAAAACCTTCACTAGATACACTGATAACATAATAAGATGCAAATGCAAAGGTTTCTGTGACACACAATGATGTTCTTGCAAGAAGAATGAGCTCTTCTGCACTGACTTTTGTGAAGAATGTCAAGATGGCATGTGTGTGAATGTAGACATTGTAGAAGATGAAGACTTACAACCTTAGAAATGCAATAGCAATTCAACACATTTCCGACCGCTGTGGCTTTCATGACTTTTATGATATTACATTGTTTCTCCATTTTCGGTTTTAACCGTTCTAATCTACCAACTAAGAAGACTTAACCCTTGGTATACACGTTTTTTCTATTCGGGCGAATTAGTTCTCAAGGTATTGCATAATAGGCATTGAATGTTAATAAAATTTGAAAAATTCTGGACCGACCCCCAGGCTGCCCACCCCTGTGACACTTATTAGTGGAGATGTTTCACCATACCAAAGTTTTACAAAAGTACATTATAACAGTATATCAACTTTATATATCTGTCGAACACTACTACTTTGATTACATGTTGTTAACTTTTTATTGCTTTGATCTAAAAGTTGTTTGATGACCTCTATCTCTTTAGCCTTGTCAACACTATAAAATTTTATGTGACAAAAAATGTGATGTGCCCATATGCGAGTATGATGACATCATACCACTTATCATAAAATTGTATCAAAAAGTTGATCGTGTTCAACTCTCTGCTCCATCAAATTTATTGTAACGTTTCTTTTTTTTTTTTTTTTTATGAAATTATAGATAATGTAGACAAAGCTTAAGAATTGCTTTGTGGGCCCAGTTGATTAAATCGTTCAATTACCAAACTATTGTATTTATTATTAAATGACTTTAATTTAAATGTCGTAGTCGTCGGACGCCAATTGCATGTTTCTATACAACATTAACAGAAACATGTACTTAAAAATTAGTCGTTTAGGAGTTATTAAGCCTTAAATGTGCAAAATGGCAGCTATTTTGATTTATGCAAATTAGGATACTTCAAGATGTCCGAAAATGTCTTAACGCTGATATTCATGTTTAGTATGGTCCATATAACACATTTCAGTAATAAAACCTTTTCTTGCAATTTGTTCTGTGAAAAATGCTCTTTCCCACAGACTACAACATCACTCTTAACACATTAATGTTTTACTCCAGTAGATTATGTATCAATTTAAAAAAAAAAAAAAGAAAAAAAAAGTGAATGCCTCCCTCGAATAAATGCCCTATTATTCAAATACGGTAGTTGTATTTTTATTTATGATTACCAAAAATGTTTAAACATTATGCCAAACAGAAAAGAATCCTGTAATTACTAATATATAATATCATATGCAATATTGATAATTTTTCTTGATCAATCAATTATTCTTCCTTACTTGTAACGTTTTAATATTTCATATACATTTTAAACTAAATTAAATTATTTGGATATTATTTCATATACTTTTTAAACTAAATTAAATTATGTTGATAGTATATACTTAATAAATGTGTGTACCATTGCATTATTATTAAAACTGTTATTTTAGAATGTGACATCTGACAGATTATTCCCATATTTCTCCATAGTATTGAGTAAGGCTACTTGCTCGACTTTCCTTGGCTCCATCTGGAAGCAACTAGGTTGGTTATTCACTCCATTGTTCACGACGACTACCTTCGGATCTGAAATTGATTATGGCAACTAATTCAGCAGTGTCATTTTTTACATCATCATACTGTATTTCTTTATGAACCCGCCAACTGCAAATATTGATGATTGCAAATAAAAATAAAATTTTATTTTTGCCAATCAGCGCACACCCACCGCCACGAGAATGCGGAAATTTAAGATAAAAATAAAAGTTTTTCTTTATTTTTATTACGCCCTCCGCTGCCTTGAAATCTCAAAAGATAAGATGTATATTTTTTCCTAATTATATAAATTTGAAGAATTAAACCATCCTATCTTAATACATTCACCAATAATATTTTTCAATTTTATTTTCTCCTCCATCTGAATGTTTTTGGCAAAACTGTTTGCTAAATAAGAAAACAAAATTTTATTATTATTTTTATCCTGCCCTCCTCTGATGATCTTTAAAGGTTGGGAAAGCAAACCGTTCCCACTGCGCCAAATCACTTCTATTGTTCTCATCACTACTATCACCAACTGCATCTGCTGCTATTGTTCTTATCACTACTATCACTAACTGCATCTGCTGCTATTGTTCGTATCACTATCACCAACTGCATCTGCTGCTATTGCTCTCATCACTAATATCACCAACTGCATCTGCTGCTATTGTTCTTATCACTACTATCACCAACTGCATCTGCTGCTATTGTTCACATCGCTAACATCACCAACTGCATCACTAATATCACCAACTGCATCTGCTGCTATTGTTCTCATCACTACTATCACCATCCAACGCCTTTGTTCTTTCACTTCATTATCTATTGCCTCTGCTGCCCTTGCTTCGTAACTATTGCCATCAAAATCACTCTCAGTTTTTTTTTTATTATTACCATCTCAAATAATAATAAGATTAGTTTCAAAGTGAGTGTAAGTATCATCATCTAACCTTTCTCTTGTAAAAGTTTTAACAAAGTCCCAAGAGGTGGGAATGCTGCTGTGATTCCCTCCTGGTCATCATCTGAGTGAACAGCTGAAAAAAAAAACGATTAAAAAGTACACTAGCAGATACCCTTATTCCTTCAACTAGTACAATATAAGTGAGAGGTCATGGCCTTTCTGTCTTTGCTATTAGGAAAAATTATTCCATGGCTTAATGTAACCGGGCTGGAACAAGAACCCATGAACAAATTCCCACGGAACATGTGTCCATGGATAATTAAAAAAAGGCAAAATGAATAATTATCCCTTAACAACTTTCCTACAGAATATTTGCATATGTAATGGTTATCAAAAGAGTATTTAGAGCGGTTTTTTTAGAGAGTATTTAGACCGGTTATCAAAAGAGTATTTAGAATGGTTATCAAAAGAGAAGTAGATCGTTGTCTATTGGTTACAGGGCGAGTTTTGTTTTATGGATAAGGGAAAGGGATTGTACCCTCTTGATCCAATAGAAGACTTTTGTCTAATGAGTAAATATCTAAGAAACTTCTAGAAGAATTGGTTGTTTTCCATCTTTGTCTAATTGTCCAGAGGACTTGTTCGTGGTATTTATTTAGAGTACTTACTGTAGTACTGTATCTAGGGTACTTGTTCAGAAATAAGGGATTGTTGTTGGCTGTTGGCATGTAGTTTTGTTTTTTTGGTAAAACAAGTTTTAACTTACGCCTTGAGCTGACACTGGCCTGACTGGACTCATTCTCAATAGCAGTTTCTCTGTTTAAATAAAACGGATATTCTAAACAGCCTGAATAATAAAAACATGAAAGGAAATTTTAAATTCAAATGAACAATAGCAGAATTGACGACGGTGTTGGTAGATACGAAGAGAACAACAACAAAAACTAAATTAAATTGAACAATAGCAGAATCAATGACGGTGTTGGTAGATACGAAGAGAACGACAACAACAAAAACAACATTCATCATTAAGACTTGCTGTTATCAAATGTCAAATGTGAAAGAGAAAGGTAAAGCTTTATAAATACTTTAAAATACTTCAGATTAATCAACTTTATATGTATGTTAACAACAAGAATATCAATAATAATGTTTTATTTTTTAAGTGTTCTTTGCATAGTCCATTATATATAATTAGTTTTTGAGTAAAGTAGTAAAAATAAATGGACAATTTAGTATTTTTAATCAAATGTTTGAATATTTCCATAATTTACCAAAGGACATATCTTTGTCATGACCAAACCATTAAAACAATTAAATGGTTGAAAATGAATTGTTTTAAGGTTACATTTTTAACATACAATTCACAATTTAGTATTAGTTTGATTATTTCCCTAATTTACCAAAGGATCACCTTTGTCATGACCTATAACAATTCAATTTCAAATTTTAAATTGAATTGTTTAAAGGTTTAATTACGTGTTTAACATACATTTAATTTGAATGAGAAAAACTTTCGCCAGTCAATTAACAGACAATTAAATAATATGTTTTCTGTATTGTATTGAAATATAATTCAGTACATGATCAAATAATTTCATCTAGTTTCAATTTGTGTAATATGATTGTTATTCTTTGTAATTAAATTATTATTTTTTACAAAGAATAACAATCATATTACAATTCTGTAAGCTTAATTTCTTACTGTCGGGTTTGAGTGTTTCTTCAACGTACTGCTGAGCTAGGTACCTCAGGGCAAATGGATGCTTCCAGTCCTCTATTATCTCTAAAGCGTCAGACTACAACAAAGCACAGGTTGATAGAGACATATATTAGATAACTGACTACTTCCATAATAATTTAACGAATGGCTAAGTAGTTATGATTGCTTCCATTGTAGGAGTATGGTTGTATTAAAACCAAATTCTGGATAACATTTGAGGAAGTGTGCAAAAATAGACCAAATTACGATACTCAGACTCGAATACGCAGCTTTGATTGTTCATTACTGTGCAACATCAATACCCAAATACCAGCCTATAACAATATCTTGCAGGTAAATATTGTTTTACGATAGAAAACAACCTGGTCTATGTAATACAAATTAGTGACAATCAATTAAAAAATAGGTCTTTATGCAAAAAAAAAGGAATAAAATTAACAATGTCATTATATTAAATGGTATCCTTTTGTTTCTTAGATATTAGATAACTAAATTAAACGAATACACAATGGATTGGGATTATTTTAATTTTATCGGTATCTTGACATTTTTAAATTCTATTAGTTCTACTAAAATTAACTAAACTAAACATTTTTACCAGTAATTTTTCCAACATTATTTTTAGTTATATTTATTATTTTTTTTTTTTTTTAAGTGGCTACGTCTTAAAGCTCTTGTTGAACTTACTGTAGCCTCCTTCCATACAATGTATTTGTTTCAATTCTTTTGCATTCTTATTGTATATTGTACTACTTTTTTGTATGGAAAATAAAAGTATATTTGATTTGAATTTGATTTCGTCTCGGCTTTTATCTACTTATCTAAGTTTTTGTGTACTCTTCATACTGGGTTGAATAAAATAAAATAAATTAAATAATAAATCGATGATGCACCTGTGGCAACTGGATTAAAATCTCATGTTTCCTTTCAGAATGTATTTCATCATCTGGAAGTTCAGCAAAGAATTTACGTACAAATTCTGGGGTGAGTTGAAATACCCCTCGCTCGACGTACTGCAAGAATGATTGATAACGAAGGCAACGATACCCGAGACAGGTGAAAAAAGTTTGGAAACCTAAAATACAGAAAAAAGTTGTATAATTAGCGAAGCTGTAGGTTAGTCATTACGATACATTTCTACAAATTTGATATGTTGGTCGTTCTTGGATATTTTTTACAGATTGAAGGCCCAGAGTACCTCTAGAT